TGAAAACCAATGACAATTTCTTTAGGTGTGGGTTTAGTTTAGACTTCCCTGTGCAATGGTCCGTGCAAGACTGAGGGCGTGCATGTGGTACTACGTTAGTAAAACCTTAACTTAAAACAAGACATGATGTTTGCGTTTCTCTTAACTCTTAAAGTAGCACAGGGGATTGTTCTAACAAGATGCCTCAAGCTTATCCTGGCCAAACAAACCAAAGAATAGGCCAATGAACACAACATGCATGCCAGAAAACAAACAAAACCCCTGATTTGGGCCACACAATGGCCTTGGTAAGAAAGATGGATTACACAGCAGTATACAAATCTAAGGGTTCTTTTCTTGTACGTTTTATGACATTCATCCGTTGGGATGTTGCAATAGCACCACAAAACAAACCTCAAGAGGGTGATTGGGATGGAGTGTATGTGTGCTGCTTATTATACGGCTACTTGGCAAATGAGTAAACATGAAACAGACATGAAACATTCATTTGAGTTTAAATGACTTTTATTAGTGTGATACTGTATAATTATATATCAGTTATATGGCGTAGCCATTGTGGGGCTGTGTGATTCGGTAACACCAGAATATTGACCAATTCTCACTATTAACTAGTTGCTTATTAGCATGCCTATTGGCTGTTTATTAGTACTTATAATGCTAATATTCTGCATGGCCATATTCTACAATACCTAAACTTAACAACTACCTTACTAACTATTAATAAGCAGCAAATTAGGAGTTTGTTGAGGCAGAAGACGAGTTAATGGTTTGTTAATAGCAACAACTGGACCTTAAAATAAAGTGTGACCTGTGATTCATTGTATTTTAGCTTCAGCTATTTTGGCTTCCAACAATAACGTAAGTACGATAATCAAGATAAAACGATTCATGTGCCGCACTGCATCCAAATCAGTCAAATGATGTAATGTGACTGTCAAAAAATTGCAGTCTAGTGTGTGATGTGCTTGATATAAAAATAGTTTAAAAGATGAAATATATTTAGATTGAATTAGATTAAATATATTTATTCCGTTTTAAAGTGACAGCAGCCTAATGTACTTGCTGCAAAAGAACAAGAAATAAATCACTCACTGCTCTTGACTGAATAACTTTAGTAGCTTTAATAAGACTAAATGTGTATTTAATTCACACAGTGAAAACTATGGAGTGTTTTACTTTTACATTTAGTAGGCTTTTAACTGAATACTGTACTGTTAGTTTGACTTGCACAAAAAAACATAAAGAATTGTTTATTTTATTTGTATTTTTTCTATTGTATTTGTTCTATTCTTTGTCATTTTATTATTCTTAAATTATTAATGACTTTTTACTTGTCTTCAATAATTGTTTCAGGACTTTTTTTACATTACACTTACATTAGTTAGCCTAGCATTAGTCTCCGCTATGGTAACTGGTGTGTGTGTGTGTGTGTGTGTATAAGATGCACATAATTGGTGTGCATGCGCAACCAAAATAAAAATACGATGGGTTCATACCGCTCATTTGCGTACTGATATGTTTAACAGCTGTTCATACACAATCACCGTTTTAGATCGACTAACTGTAATACTGTATAAGATTTCCATTTGAACTGAAAGTATAAATCTACACTGTAAAAAAAAATCCGTAAAATTTACGGTAGAAAACCGGCAGCTGTGGTTGCCGGAATTTTACTGTACAAAATACAGTAGCAATGTTTTAGGTTTTACGGTTTTAACTTAAATTTACAGTTAAATACCGTAATTTCATTAACTGATGTAATGTTAATATACCAACCTATTGAAGTACTGAAATCTGTTATGTACCTTTGTAATACACTGATAACCACCAAATGCAGGAGGTGATGAGAAAGTCACATGATGTACCAAAGCCCATCACAAGCAGCTTTTAAATAATAACATATATAGAAGGTGCACAGTGTCATTCACACAAATGCAAAACACCATCACGGTAACACACATGAAACTGAAATAATTCAATAAACATTAATTTAACAACATTAGGTGTAACACACAACCCTAAATATAAAAAACTGATAAGAAAAAACTGAGAAGAAGCATAGTTATTTCAACAAAAAATCATCAAATTTGAAATGTAACTTAGGGAATTCTGGGAATGTCAATTTACGGTTATTCACTGTAAATTATACAGTATTTTTCACTTCCAAAAATGGTATACTACCGTAAAATTTATGTCCAATACATGTAATGTCCAATACAGTTTTTCACCGTATATAGTAGGGGAATTTACCGTTAACCATTTAACAGGTTTTTACTGTAGCATTTTTACAGTCTTTTACCGTTAAATTCACAGTCATTTTTTACAGTGTAGGCTGCTGTATGTGCTGCCATTTTGCTCATAGCAAAATCCAAAATAAAAGCTTGAAAGCATAAAAATAATAAATAATAAAATGTATTATGAAAAAAAACCACGTATGGACTCACATAAGCATGAAAAAAGTGCAAAAAAAATTTTTCGTGGTGTGTGTGAAAAAGCTATTGTTAATTTAAAAGAACTGTTGAACAGTAGATAAAAACAGGATGATGCAGAAACTCACTAAGTACTGTATGTATTAACAAGCTTGGCCTTGTGTTGACTCGACTTTGCCCTCGGCTAGAACACTTATAAGCTCTCTATTCTGAAGCTGAATGTCTGTGTAAAGTCACATCCATTTAACAGGGTGTGGAATAATAATGGGCATGACATCATTTGTGTTGTAATGATTAATACAGTGATGTTTAGGTAAGAAGCTACACATTTTCTCTATATTTGTTATGTTCTGAAGTGTATCTGATGTTGACCATTTTTAAAGCACAGTCATAAATCAATGATAAAAGATAATGTTCTTTCAAAGGTGAGGATGCAGAATTATACTATCATTGATAGCTGAAGGCCAAAACATAACTTTTGCAGAAGCGTCCTGAGCAGATTCAGCCCTTGTTCTGTCAGGTGACCTGACAAAGGAGTCACAGTTTGTAAGCATTTATGGCTGTTCTGGTTAATCTTAAACCTTTGATCCAATACTCTCTTTTCCCAAGCCAGGTTCTTCTCTTTTCCATATGTTCGTATGCTTTTGTCTATGATTCAAAGGAAATTTACATGTCATCTTGCAGACCGTCAACTCCACAAGTTGTTGTTTTTTCTTTCACACCTGTATTTTTTCATAAGCCAATGAAATAAAATAAAATAAAATAAACAAGAAAGCTGCAGTTTTACATGAAGTGAGCATGAGGTAGAAATGAGGTAGGAAGAATCAACCAATGGAAAGCCCAAGGCTGTTTGTCATGGAGTATTATTCACTTGCTCTGCATATGTGACACACATCAACTCCTTTTTTAACACACAACACTATTAAGTATTAAACAGGACCATCTGTCAAACACATGTTTGTTATTCATGAAAAGTCTAAATGCTTTACTTCAACTTCGAAGAATAGATACATATTTTATTATTTTTGTATGTGAAGCCTTTGAATAGCCCCTACATTTGATCTTTCCCTATTCCACACGACTCTCCCTACATGTGATAAAGCACATATAGTCCTACTGTACTCAGAAGTTGGACATGACTGCACATCACGTCATCTACAAATACATCTGCTACTAATATTCCATATAGCATTACGCTAACAGCGTGAATAAAACAGTCTAATTTTCTCCAATATGTTCATTGCCTTCAGGAATTGGTTAGGAAATCTATATTACCGTTCCAAATCTCATACTGTAAAGCAACATATTAATTTTGACTTTCTGCCAATTGGATAGTTGTTTGGAAAAATAAATGCGGTGAAGAGTTGAGGTCAAGGAAAATGGATATGAACAGTGTCGACTTCATCTTTAAGTTTTGACTGATGTTTGCAATGTTGAAACTGTTGAAAAAGGTGAGGGTTTGGCTGCTTTACCAAACTAATGAGCGTGACCAAACTAAAGAGGCGTGTTTTTTGGTTAAATGTGAGCACCGCTGACCATTTTGTTTGTCTGATTTACAAGTATTGTCTGGAGTAGGCTACAAGTAATAGTGTATGATGCCACACTAAATGGAAAAAAACAAAGGCACATAAAATGACCTTATGCATCAGAGAAACAAGTGTAATGCCATCTTTAGAATTGTGTCTTTAAACTTCCTTTTTGTGGTAGCTCTATTGCATAGCTGTTTAAGAGTATCCTAATTAGCTAGTGAAGTGGATTTACGTAGGCCTATTTAAGAGTTAACCAAAGTTATCATGATGGGCATTGTAATGTTCGAAGCAGATGTCATAACAATGTCATTCATAAATTCGTACGAGCTTACCTTCAGGCTGTGAGAGCTGTTTTGTTGTGAGATAAATAAGCCCAATTGGGTTTTTAAATCCTTCTTTCTCGCTCTAAAAAGTTTTCATTGCGTATGATGTTGTGTTAGTTTGCATATGCACTGAATGAATTGTGTGTTCTGTTGCACTGACGCCTTAGAGAAGAAAATTTGTTTTGTTCTTAATTTGTTTACTATGTTTGGGAAATATCACGTTCAAAAATGTCGATGGGCCAAAAGTACACCTAGTTTTGTTTGAGCTTTGTCAAGTGCTAAGGCCAAAAAGACTAGGGATTGTTGTAAAGCCTTGAAATGTTATCCTTTTTAAGGATTCTCATATTTATTTTGTAAGTAGAGATATGGATTTGTTTCAATCCCCCTTTGTATACAGTTCTTCATTTTTGTGTTGTTTATTAAAGGGGTCATATGATGCTTTTTTAAAGATCATTATTTTGTGTATTTGGTGTAACAGAATATGTTTTGTTTATTTTTATTTTTTTTATATTTTTATTGTTTCGTGCTGTTATTATTTTTACACATGGCGTGTGAGTTGTTACTAGATAAAGTAAAAAAAATAATAATAAAATAAAAGGTTGTGTTGTAGTGGGTGGGTTGTGAAGCTGTGTATGGTTGTCATAGCGGCGCTGTTCCTCCCCTGAAGCCCAAGCGCTGCTGGGAGTTGCTCCTCCTCAGTCCTCACTCGTCAGCGCTAGTTTTATTTAAAGAGTGAATGAGGAGAGCGCAGTTTTTCAGCTGAGGATACTGTCTGACTCAAATATGTCTCACACTGTGACTCTCACCGGTCCCTCGCCGTGGGGGTTTCGTCTGGTGGGCGGACGGGACTTCAGCGCACCGCTCACCATTTCAAGAGTACGTCTTTTCTTATTCTTCTCTTTAATGATGAACTTTTTTTTTTACAGTGCAACGGATGCGAGGGCCTCTTTAGACCCTGCGTGCTGTTTCACTGTAAAGATGTAACATTACATTTTTGGTTTACGTCTCTAAAGATAGATGAACTACTTCACAACTCTTGCTTTGCGTTGTATGTTGTGTCGGTTCTGTTACAGTAGCAAGATAGTGACCGACTTTGCATTTGCGTCTCACTTTATAACGAAAATAAGGCGAGACACTGCAGGTGAATAGGGTAAAAAAGAATACTAACAAATAAATAATAGTTATCGCCTTACTTACCCAGCTGATTGATTACATTGATAATTGCAACAACAAAAAAATTGTATTACAAGTTTTCTAAAATTTTAGGTTTAAATATGCAAATGAGTCCTGTTTAATGAAATATGCGCTAATTTGCATAAATGTCTAGTACAAAAATCTAAACACTGGATGATGTCCGTTTCAAAATAGTTTAGAACTACATCTATTGTTTAGTTTTTTTTATATATATTAGAGTCAAAAGGTTTTACAGAGGGAATTTTGGGTATCTCATTTTTGCCACTCCATAATGCTTAGAACGGACTATATTTTCACAATTATTTGGGGAATCAAATGTTGTATATAATCAAGCAAATTCTATATTAAATTTCACATGATTTTGTTGTTCACACCGCCGTGTCAAGCAAACATATTGCTCAGAAGTCGCTCTTTTATGGTCATTAAACATAAGTTCTTAGTTTGGTTCCATTGAAATATAAACAACGTCATCTTCAGAAATCTCTTCAGAGAAATAACAAGAGAAACATCGAGAGAGTTGTTGACTTACAGTTTGAGCATATAGCTGTCAAATTAATAGCATCCGTCAGATGATTTGATCTTGGAAGAATCTAAACAAAGAAGTGTTTGAGTTCATATTAAGATCTCTTACAATTTGAGTTGAGAGATTTAGGAGAAACATGTAAAAAGCAAGAGACTTAAAGGAAAAGTATACCCAAAAAGGAAGTTGATGACAGCATCATTTACTCACTGTAAAGCTATTCCAAACCTGTACGAGTTTCTTTCTTCTGATGAGCACTTAAGGAGATATTTTGAAGAATGTTCTTAACCAAACAGCTGACGGTGGCCATTGACTTCCATAGTGTAACTTTTTGGTTACCCACTTTCTTTAAGATATCTACTTTTGTGCTCGACTGAAGAAAAAAATGGTTTGGAACAACATGACGACGAGCAAATACTGACAGAATTTTGATTTTTGGCCAGACTGTCACTTTATGAAGAGATCACATTTAAGATATTTCAGAGATCGCCTTTGTGATTTTCACATTTCTTTGGGCACTGACTTCGATGCTTCTCAAATGAATGAAAAGCTGAATCATGCTGGACAAACCCTATAATTTACTGCATATTTGTGGTCAGTAAATGCTTGTGCTAGAAGAAATCTTATTCAGCTGCCTTCCTCTTACATTGCTTTAGAAAAGCGGCAGCTGGTTTTCACCAATTAATATTTACAGCCAGCCGGGGCTTTATCTGTGGTATGAAGTGGTCGTGGATGTTTAGTCTACTCCATCCATCCATCCACCCGTCCAGTGGATGAATGGATGGAGTGGATGCAGGTACAGTTTTCTAGCTGTTTGTTAGAGCTAATAAAAATCCAGATGCAGATCCTATACAAATAAAATAACCCCTAGCCAGAGTAAGAACCTTGCGTTGAATGCTTTTGATGTTGTGCAGGCCAAAGAAACATCTGCAACTTGTAAAGATAGCAGCTTGATCGTACTGAAAGCTGGTGAAAGGCTCATCAGCACCACAGGTTTGAGCATGAAACTGGTAAAGTAGAAGCTCGGCTTTGGATATTTTGTGTACACGTCCTGTGAAGGTTTCCGTCTGGCACTGGGGATAGATTTCCCAGTAAATGCTGAGATGAATAGGTCAGCCACAGGTTTTGTTACGGAAAGTGTTAAGTTGTCCGTTGGCAATCCAGAATCAGAATGGAAAACCTCCAAATGGAATGAGGTAACAGTTTAAACACAACCCAAGATGCAATTTTAGTAAAATGAGTCTGGACAGCTGATTCGGATAAAGTGGCAGATGCATTGGTAATATAGAGAGACTTGGTGTTGAAATCTGCAGTTACAATAGCCTTAGGGTCTCCACAACCTTGTTGTAAAATGCTTTCGCTTCTGTGCTAATGAGTTGAACATTTGGTGTTTTCCTGGTGAATGTGAGAGCGGTGAGGTAAAAGCTGACTGAATCACTGCCAAGCGCAATACATAACAAATTGTCAGCACTTGTCCAGACTGACAAACGTGGCCATCCATTCACAGGAATTCACAGCCCCGTGTCACACAGAAGGCAGAATGGAGCAATGCTTTCACTACTCTTCACTACAAAATAACTGAAAAGATCTAAATCTCATTTTCATTCCTATGATAAACCCAAAATTGTCCGAACAGGTTAAGCATGCACCATCTTATAAACATATTTACTCTGTTAATCTTCAGTGTCTGGCTAGTATCCCTTGGGGATTTCACAAGGCTAATTTATTGCATCCAGGGCCTTCCTCTTGTTATTGCTCTGTAAGGGCATGCAGTAATGCTGGCATGCTGCAGCTCATTGTCCACAGCCCTGCATTCGTAGCACAGCCACATTCCAGGAAGCCATGTGACATTATTCAAAAAGTAGCAAATAGGAGATTTTCAAGCACAGGACTCATCAATGTTTACAATTGTTCAGCGTCATGGGCGTTTTGCCATGCAACACTGTTAAAGTTGAGTGTCTGTTCAAATGCAACTGGTCGGTTGCATCTAAAAAAAAATGGGTCGCTGCTCTATTCTGACAGGGTCATGGACGGTAGGGAAATAACAATGCTTAAATGCTAAGGATTGCCTAATCAAACAATGCTTGCCCCAAAAAACTCGTTATTTCAATGTGAATTCATCTGATGGTAGGTAGAAGCTAGGCAGATGCCAGCACTGACAGGTTGCGTGACGTGCCCCCATCCTTGAAAAACAATACAAAAGAACAAACGTTCAAGAAAATATGTTCCAGTTTACAATAAACACGGGTCGAGTTGCAACAAAGATAAACATGGTTCGTGCTGACCACAACGAAAGCATGATTCACTGTTGCATGGCAAGCATATTCGTAATTTGTTGGGACTTCAGTGTAAAATCTGGATCCTGAAAATAAACCGGTTTAGAACAGTGGCTCTATGCTAAATTGTTTTTTGGAACTTTGTGTCATAAGAATTTGAGAGTAATTGATTTTTCTCTACTGTGTTTATCACAAATGTAAAGCGTTTGGTCTGGAAGGATAAAAAATAAGCAGTTATACAGTGAAGGCTTGTGAAACATTCAGAATAGGTTGTTGTAAACCGCTTATGACATTATGGTACTGGGTACCATTTTTGACTCTTTATAACCAATTTTCAGTGAGTGTTCAGTGAACAAAGTACACATTTTCAGCAACCTAGTATACATGGTTTTTCATATTCCCATTATAATCATTAAACATTTTAAGGGATATATAACACATATTTTTATTTTGACAACTAACCCATCCTTTCTCCTCATCATTCTCTCTACATTGTCAAGCTCTGATAATGTACAGTGGGTACGGAAAGTATTCAGACCCCCTTAAATTTTTCACTCTTTGTTATATTGCAGCCATTTGCTAAAATCATTTAAGTTAATTTTTTTTCCTCATTATTGTACACACAGCACCCCATATTGACAGAAAAATGTTTTTCTCTGTAAAGCTAAGCTTTTTGGCCAAAACAAACTTGATTTTTCTTAGATCAATGTGAAAAATTTGCCTTCACACTCTCAGAAAAAACAAAAGCTGTAACTCTGTGGCGGTACTTCTTCAATAGATACGCTTTTGTACCTTAGATACTAATATGTACCTTTAAGCTACCAATATGGATTCAAATTTGTACCTTTTGAGGTGGTCCTGCCCTAGTGACAGAACATCTTGGTTTACCCTGCTCAGAAAATGACTAGTTACAGAGAACAATTTATGTGATGTGAACCCACTGGAGAGTTTGTGCACTCTCAGAAAAAAAGGTACAAAAGCTAAGATAAAACACCATGTGTTTTAGTGTGACTCAGGACAGTCACACATGGCAGTGAAGCTTGTGAAATGGGATGAATTAGTCTTATTAGTAGGTCAGGAGCTTCTGTTTGCAAAATATTTAGGGTTGTGCATATGTGCTTGGCTTATTATAGGCAGTTTGCTGATATAGTCATGTAGTTAATGACTTTTATGTAGGCTAAATCCCACTGTAATAACAACAGCCCTCGGTGCTTGAGTCAAGTGTTCTGTACTTAGGAACAATTTCAGGCAATTTCCTGGCTTAACATCCAAAGTGGTCATTTGTGCATTTGGAGGTCTTTGAATACTTGGACTTTATTGTATCTACAGTGTGTATTTATAGTGGATCTTTAACAATAGTGACTGTATTTCCGTATCAAATAATTTTAGCTTATTTTTATTTCATTTTACTAGGGCTGGGCAATATGGCCAAAAATATTATCACAATGTTTTTTTTCTCTCCATATCATACGATATCAGTGTTTATCACAATAGTCCTTTACTATTAAAGCTTTCCACATGTTTGTTAAACCTTTAGATTGAATGTAAAGATATTTTGTTTGTTCACAATTATGATTTAATACAAATGTATCATTAAAACAATGGTGTCTACTTAAACAAATTCATAAAACTTTATCAGTTTAATCAGTCTTTTAAAATGTAATGAAATGGAGACATAATTTACAACAAAACATTGCATCTTTATTTGATCAAATAATATGCTGTACTGTATAATTGTGTAAATCAAAAATACCATGGTTGTATGATATTCCTTAAAATTATTATTATTATTATTATTACTTGAAAATACATTTTAGTATAGAATAGTAATATATTTCTGTCATAAATTCTTCAAGTTAAACTGGACTTTTATTTTGACAGGTTGTTGTGAAGGTCTTTCGGTTTCAGTGTGGTAGTATTTCCTTAATAAAATGGTTAGCCTATTAGTGAGAAGCACTGACTGGCTGTTGTCGTAAATTTTATAGAGACTCAGATATCATTTTATCGCCCAGCTGTAATTTTTACAATGCCAGGTTACGGAAGCAATTAACATTTAGCTGTAGATCAGAATGTTTTTTGATACCTGATTTCTACATGCATCCATTTTTTAAACAACTTGTCATTGTGGTCAGTGATTTCTACATGTAATGCTCTATAAAGGAGTTTTATTGTGAAACACTTCTTTTAACAAAGTAGAGTATAGATTTATAATATCAACCTTATATGACAGTTCCTAACTAACATAAAATGTCTATCTAATGGTTAAAATAGCTATTTGCATTCCATCGCTATTAAGTATATTTTGATCCAGAGATCAAAACATGGTGGCTGCTGTAAAACCTAATGTCTAGTTTTATCCCCACAAACTGAACAGATAACTGATTTTAGTTTGTGAGATCTCAAAGCCAGTGACTGCTGGCAGGATGTGTGATAAGGGTAAGTGAGATGATATAATTACTGAAAATTGTTGTCATGTGTAGAGAACACGAGCAGCTGAAGTCTAACACATAAATAATTTTTTGAAAGAATTCAGCCATTGTTTACTGTAATTGTTTAAAATACTTAAAAAAAAAAGAATGTTCGGTTCTTGCTTCTCATGAAAACTGCTTATCATTAAAACCATATCTAGATATATATTTATCAATAAAATCAAAAGAAAAAAACAGAAACTTTGTTTTACATAGTTTCAATTATATGCCTTTTTATTTTATTGAATAATTTGTATTACAAAGATCTTTGACATTATGATGTTCCTTTTATGACTTCATTATTTCCTTTTCTATTGTCAGAAAAAAAAGTCTCTCATTACTGTAAGTAATAAAAGAAAAAAAATCCAACATAGGCTCATTGGAAAAACTTACCCATACTTACAATTCACTGCCGTTTCCAGCTGAAATGGCAGTAAAACACCTTTTAATCATTTTAATCTTTTTAACACAACTTTTAATCCTTTCCACACAAATTATGGTTAGTTGATTAATAAAGACTTTTTCCTTGCACAGTACTCTTATAATCTCAGAACACTTTTAGTGTACAATATAGTGCAGGGTACCAACACACTTTTTATGTCAGCAGATCCCCTTATAAGTAAAATATTTACTTGATATATCCTCTGGGATTTTAGGTTCATATTTTAATAATTTAATGACACATTGAGTTCTCTAAAGAAAGTTAAATGGTCACATGACATGCAAGTAAACAGATAAAATACTTAATCTTTTTTTTTTTTTGCAAATTTTGTTATTATTTTATCAAATATTTAAATAAGAATTACTATTAGTGGTAGTAGCAGTAGTAGTTGTAGAATGTTTTAATACTAATAATAAAACCGTAAAATAAGTAAAACCGAAATAAAGTAAAAATGCAAAGTAAAAATTAAACATTTGATAATATTTACAACCATTTTATTTTACACTACAATACTAATGTTAATGTCTAAATTTCTTCACTTTCAAATATTCAAACCATCAAGCTTATAACAATTCAAATCCTTTAGCTTTTGTTTTGGCAGAATATTGGTGAAGTTCTGTTCACAAAAAAAATATTGAAATCATGCATGAATCATGTAAATAAAGAGAACATGGTGCTTGCAATGCCAAGATCATTAGTTTCATTCCCAGGTAATGCACAATATTCTTACACAGTACTTACAGTACAGTATTGTGACTATTTTGACTAGATGTTTTTTTTTTAATTGCTGAGTGGTAATGAAAATGAGTGTTCTTTTCACATTGCAATAACAATGTTGTGAATTATTTATTTATGTATTTATTTATTGATTGATTGATGTTAGCAAAATACGTTTTTCCCCACATTAAAGTAATGAGAATTTAAGGGGAAATTTGGATCATTGTGCAATTTTTTCCCCCTTTTTTGGGATGAAATGAATAATTTCTTTGTGAGATTTATGCTAAGCATAATGAATTGAATAATGATAGGCAAGGTCTTGCAACTCATAGAGTCAAAAAAGCAAACTAATCAGAGCTACAGTACCTATGCCTCATAAGCGTGGATGCGTCACATTGAATAGTCATTACATTTCACTTTAGTCAAGTGAGTGACTGATCAACTGTCATTGGTCTAGTTGTCGGCTTTGTCGCACTGATGGTTTCCAGTCAGTCAGTAATAGTACCTGGCAGGCGCTGCAGTGTCTTGGGTGTGGTGCTTCCTTAACCTTTCTTTTGTTTGTCTTTTGTTAGATAACACCTGCGAGTAAAGCAGCGCTGGCCGATTTGTGCCCTGGAGACACCATCCTAGCCATCAATGGAGAAAGTACAGAGACCATGACACACATGGAGGCTCAGAACCGCATTAAAGCCTGCACAGATCAGCTCGTGTTGGCCATCAGCAGGTAATCTGCCTTACTGTCCATACATTCACATGGAGGTACAAGAGCTGTCACTGGGGCGGTACCTTGTGTACACTTTTGTGCTTTATTAACCCCTGAATGGTGTATATTAGTACCTAAAGTGTACATTTTAGTACCTAGATGGAATATCGTAGTACCTTTTGAAAGGATACTGCCATAGTGGCAGCTTTTGTATTACTCACCCTCATGTTGTTCCAAACCTGTGAGACCTTCGTTCATCTTCGGAACACAAATCTGAGAGTTTTCTGACTCTTCATAGACAGCAAGGCTACTACCACGGTCAAGGCACAGAAACGTAGTAAGGACATCAATAAAATAGTCCATGTGACATCAGTGGTTCAACCGTAATTTTATGAAGCTATGAGAATACTTTTTGTACGCAAAGAAAACAAAAATAACGACTTTATTCAACGATTTCGTCTCTTCCGGGTCAGTCTGCCGCCATTCACGACAATAACACGACGCATGCGTGTGATGCAGGTCTGACGTGGAACATGCATGCAAATGGTGGTGGAGACTGACCTGGAAGAGAAGAAATTGTTGAATAAAGTTGTTATTTTTGTATGAGACTACTGATATAAACATCTAGTATTTTATATATACAATAAGCAAATTAATTGCAACATAAAGGGGGAAAAAGTGGAGATAAGGTTAGAAAGCATGAAGCTTGCGAATGTCAGAATGTCGGTCAAGTCCAAAGCAAGACGCAACATGTTATGACAACAACATTTACTATTATTATAGGGACATCCCTATAATATACACGCCGTGGTTCAGCTGCGAGCTACAAACACTACCAGTGGGAAAGAACAATGAGCATGCGCTGCTTCTTCACTGTTTCTGCTCTGCTGACGCATCCAGTATGAAACGGCCACTTTTCATTGATTTTCACATCTCATTTTAATCGTGACAGTCGTAATAAATTATGTTTAATTGTTCAACCCCCTTTTCTTGAGCTTGATGTTCCAAACCTGTGAGACCTTCGTTCATCTTCGGAACACAAATCTGAGAGTTTTCTGACTCTTCATAGACAGCAAGGCTACTACCACGGTCAAGGCACAGAAACGTAGTAAGGACATCAATAAAATAGTCCATGTGACATCAGTGGTTCAACCGTAATTTTATGAAGCTATGAGAATACTTTTTGTACGCAAAGAAAACAAAAATAACGACTTTATTCAACGATTTCGTCTCTTCCGGGTCAGTCTGCCGCCATTCACGACAATAACACGACGCATGCGTGTGATGCAGGTCTGACGTGGAACATGCATGCAAATGGTGGTGGAGACTGACCTGGAAGAGAACAAATTGTTGAATAAAGTTGTTATTTTTGTATGAGACTACTGATATAAACATCTAGTATTTTATATATACAATAAGCAAATTAATTGCAACATAAAGGGGGAAAAAGTGGAGATAAGGTTAGAAAGCATGAAGCTTGCGAATGTCAGAATGTCGGTCAAGTCCAAAGCAAGACGCAACATGTTATGACAACAACATTTACTATTATTATAGGGACATCCCTATAATATACACGCCGTGGTTCAGCTGCGAGCTACAAACACTACCAGTGGGAAAGAACAATGAGCATGCGCTGCTTCTTCACTGTTTCTGCTCTGCTGACGCATCCAGTATGAAACGGCCACTTTTCATTGATTTTCACATCTCATTTTAATCGTGACAGTCGTAATAAATTATGTTTAATTGTTCAACCCCCTTTTCTTGAGCTTGAGCGGTAATTTTGTTCATTTTGGTGCATTTATGTCCCAAGCCCCTGTACAATTCTGACCCTGCTCTATATTCAATTCTGTGTTGACAGAGCAGAAACAAACTATGTGTTGATTTTTGTGTCCATTTTTATTCAACCACAGGAAACATTGAACATCATTCTCCTTAATGTGATAAAAGACAATCCTTTTCACACCAACAGAATTTTGTGTGTGAGTGTGAGATTAACCCAGAGGCATCATATGCTACATCATGCCATATTTGGTGTGTGTTCTCAGAGCGAGCTGCTCTTGTTATTTGGAAAAGCCCTGAACTCTTGGTAGACCTGCTCATATATCATCTTTCGACATTAAGTGGTACATTCACATAGGAGTAGTAAATTTATTTAAGGATACTCTGGGTTGTTTATACTCCGCATTCGACTGGGAACTTTAGAGACTCCTTTAGTTTTCCTCCACAGCTGATCACATTTCAAAACCTTCAGCCTAGCTTTTTTCACACCAGTAAATCTACATGACTAGAGTAACAACAGAATTCTACATTGTGTCAACATCTGATCTCTGCTGTCTTCATAGGTGTTTTTTATGGCCTGCATAGATGGCCCTGTGAAGGTCACGTGACAGCATTATAAATGCAAAAACATGGCCCCCCGTATCTATTGGTATGTGACCTTTAGCATATGCCAATGAGTCATTTGTATTAGTCTGTGCTTTTGAAATGAGTTGTGCGCTGGCACGATAAGCACCGTTTCATTCCAGTGTACATGGATGTACTGGAGCAGGGCGGGGAAACTGATTACAGACTGCAGATTCTGTTTTCCGTGTGTTTGGATGGAAATACTTAAAACATGCCACCCAGAATCATATTGAATCATATTCTTCTTGAGACTTTGTATTAAACATATATTCAAAATCAAAAACAATAAAGTTATGTTATGCAAATATTATGCACATTTGTGGAAACAGTATGGAACTACTGTAGGGGTTTGTGTCACACTATTATGTGTAGATGGAAGAAATCAAGCAAATCATATGTTAGTTGCTGTTTCAGTTGGGAGATGCATAGATGATAAATTAAAAAAAAAGAGTGACACATTATAAATAAGCCAATTCAGGTGTAACCAAAGAATGTGCTGCCTCTTCGAAAAACAAAACTTCTACTGTATAACCCGTGTTAAAAAAGCAGGTTCTACCAGTTAAATCAAATGTGCATGTCAGTTTAGATGCAAGAACAAGATTTAAGATTCAGGAGAAATCATTACTGGATTATTCTCAGTAAACTGTGTCATTTGAGCCAAAGGGAAGTTTTTATTTTTACTTTCAAGAAATCATATTTTCCCACCAGGGTTACAACTGCCATATACCACCATATACAGTATATGTGCCCCCCATAACATTTAGAGTACAAGTCAACAAATATGAGTTTTTCAGTGGTTGGTTGTTAAACTACTGCCTATAATGCTAAAATGTGGTTATAACCTGGTCAAGTATCAACAGTTTTTATTATAACTAGCCCCTATGTTATTTTAGCCCTGTCACAGCAAGTCTGGAATTTATGTGCTTATGGAGTGAATTGAATAAATAACTGATTACACTGTGGTAGTATACTAGTATTACAATCAGTGTTGGGGGTAACGCATTGAATGTAATGCGAGTTACGTAATCAGATTACTTTTTTCAAGTAACTAGTAAAGTAACACCTTACTTTTAAATTTACAAAGAAATAATCTGACAAAGAATACAAAGAATAATCTGTTTACACATTTATTTACTGACACCTCTGCTGTTCCTGTGTTGAGAGAAATTGGGAGTGAGGTGCAGAGGCAGAAAGTCTTCCTTCAGCCGGAGGCTTATTAATTTCACTTTTGGTGTGAAAGGGCCTTTACAGTCACCAAAAATACAACTTTTGTGTCTTTTTTGTTATTAAAAAACAAATAAGCAAGCCTTGCCCAAAAAGTAACCCAAAACTTATGTAATGCTTTACTTTCCATAAAAAGTAACTAAGTAGTGTGATTAGTTACTCTTTTTTATGGAGTAATGCAATATTGTAATGCATTGCTTTTAAAAGTAACTTTCCCCAACACTGATTACAATTATTAAGTTTTGGTGTGCCTTGTAATAAATCACAGGTTATCATTCAAAGTGTACATGGTTGAGCATTATGGGGATGAACTTCTGCGTAAAATAGTTTCACATTATCGCATGCTAGGACATCCTGCTTTTTTCTTTTAGCAGCCTTGTACTGTGATACTTCTTTCCAAGAAACACATTTTTTTTTATTAATATGATACTAGAGCAGGAATGCACACTGTCCTGCAGATTTTATCTCCATCCCTTATTAAACATGGCCAGTCCCAGCAAGGTAGGTTTTAGATTAGTTGGGTTTTAGGGTATTTAGGGTTATATTATGAGTAAGAGATTGCAAACCGAAACTGGAACTGTCAGCAAAGTGACACATCTCTGATGCAATACAGTTACTCCCCAGTTTCTCTCGCTCCAAATTAGCAGTTTACAACAAAAGAGCTTTCAAGACAAAATTGATGCCTTTAGGCCTTTAGCGATGCTTATTTATCACACCCTCAGTCCGTTACACGATTATAGTTAAACAATTAATATTAGGCGTTTAGTTTAAATACTTTTAAATCAGATATTATATAAGATAAATAACCTCAATATGTAAATCTGTCTATATATATTTTAAGAGTTTATTTGCAAAAACAGATCAAAAAAATGTTATGCTGTCATGGTTTTATTGTGTTAGTTAGCTGTATTTTCATGTTTCATTAAATCATCATGTTTTGAAGGGAAAAAAAGGTCAATATTTTCAGATCTGTCAGGTGTTTTAATAATTTTGGCCACCACTGTACAACTGTTCATTGTTCGTCCATGTTAGCTCAGGTCCATTAAATATCATTAATTTTTGATTTTAATAATGTATTTGTAAATGTTGGAATCAACATTAACTAGATTAATAAATGCTTTATGTCAACGAATACAGTTAACCACATGCTTCAGGGCAGAACGGTTGTCTTTGTAGAACAGACTCCTAAAATGTAACATGTAAGAATAATTCTGTTCCTGTTTCAATGAACGGGCTTATAGAAGACAGATTTTGAACAGCCTCCCAATGCATAATTATGTGCCACATTCTGAATTCTAAATTACTTGATAGATTATAATGGAGAAAGAGTGGAAACAAAATGGTACATTGTGTGCGTCATTTCTGCCCACTGCATCTGCCTCTCTCATTTTCCTCTCA